TCTCTTCTTCAAGTGTCCCTGTATGTCTCTTAGCTCATGGTTAACCCTGATGAGGCACAGCCTCATTTGTACCTGGCCAAGTGACAGATTGACAGTGTTGCTGGCCAGAGAAACACACTGGTTTCTTTGCTGGGATGGGCTTTCAGCCTGGGCACCTCTCCTGTGGTGTGCTGTGGGCCAGGCTTTGACTGATTTAGTTCGGGAAGATGAGCTTATTGGTGGATGTGATAATGATGCCAGTAAAATTCAATTACTAGGTCCCAGAGGACCATAGCAAGCAATAATAAATTAGGAAACATGAGGTCTGGAGTTATCCAAACTGACATTATAATGGGGAAATTGAAAAACAAACAAACAAAAATCCTAAGCATTCATTTAATTATAGATGCCACAGTGTTCCCCACCAAAAATTAGTGCATCAACTAACCCTTTGTTCTTGTCATAAAAGAATATGCCTGAGACACAGCCAAGAACATTTTCTGTTAATTATTTGGTATTGTGTCCCCAGAGCACACCTGGCTTCTGGGTAATGGTACCCAGGGAGGAAGCAGCTGGCAGGGCCGCTCAAGGCCACCGCAGTAATCCACAGGATTCAAAGATGCTTGGAGCCCGTGGCCTTGGGTTTCAGGTTGCCATCCAGAGCAGAGTTTGAATGGGAGGTGTAACCTCAGAAAGTCCAGCTAATGCTTAACTACTGACATCCATCAGGAACGTCAAGGCTTGCATTGTCTGGTTAATTGGAACCAGCTTTCCTGCTATCAGATCCCTTTTCGTTCCTAACATTTCCAAACTATCTTTCTTTCTTTGTGTAGCAGTTTATGGCCTCTCCGGCTTGTGCCTCCTGCCCATGAATGGTGCACCAGAAAGATGCTTTGGGGGCATAAGTGTCTCAGCTCACCTCCATTCCAGACTTAGACCTGGAAGAGTTTGTTGATATTTCTTCTCCAGAATGAACACCAAGTGTGTAAGGGAGAAAGGGCATTAAGGAAGTCTAGCTGCAGACTCTGTGATCCATCCCCAGATACTTTCAGGGTTAAAATGCATTGTGACTGATCACTACTTCCCTTTCCCATCCCCGCGTGAAGGACTTAACGACTAGATTATGCTGACTTCATGACCCCGTGAAGCAACCAACTCCTGACTCAAACTGGGCACAAGAGAATCTCCCAGGAGTCAGAACATCAGCCGTTGTACGCTGGTGTTAGAGTTTGGCAGTGGTAGAGCCGTGGAATTTGGAACCATCACTTTCAACCATCTGAACAGAATGTGAGTCAGTGAGAGGGCAGGTTAGCAATGAATCAGCTGTTAAGAGAAGCCGAGACCAAGATTGTCCAGCTCCATAGTGATGGGTCAGTTACTGCTTTGGTTCTGGGTGACTGTCTATTTTCTGCTTCTAGACCCTTGTGCAAGCTGGCTGTTCTTTATTTGTGCTTTATTAAGTATCTTTATGTTATTCCAATAAATATTTTTGCTTTGATTAGTGCTTTTTGTTGTTGTTTTTTGTTTTGATACAGAGTCTCACTATGAAATTCAGGTTGTCTTGCCCTCATTTTGTAGACCAGGCTGGTCTCAAAATTGCAACAGTCCTCCTGCCTGAGCCACCTGAGTGCTGGGATTACAGGTGTGTGCCACCACACTGGGTTCTCTTTGATTAGTCTTAAGAGCTTGTTTTCTGGTTTCTTTTCTTTTTTTAACTAGCAAAAGGGCCCTCAGATATTACTGTCTAACGGTATTTGGTCTTGGGTTGCATTTGAGAGTAGGACCATGAATGGTTATACTGTGTCATTTATTTATTTGTTTGTTTTGCAGCACCGAGATTGAATGCAGGGCCTTTGCACTGAGCTATGTCCCAGCCCTTTTTCATTTTTCTGTCTTTTTGTTAGCCTTGTTTTGATACACATACTTGTTAAATTTCCCCAGGCTGGGCTCAAACTTATGATCCTCCTGCTTCAGCCTCCTAGAGTCCTGGGATTAAGGGTGTGCACCACCACTCCTGGCTGTACCATGACAGTTAAAATACAGCAGGCCTAGATACTAGCTAGTGAGAGCAGTGGCCTCACTGGGGAAGGGCTGACCCCTTTTCTGACTGATGAGCCACTGTTTTCCTTGACCTTCCCCGTCTGGCATGTGCCCTTGCTGTAGGCCCCTCTAACTACATCTCAAGAGGCCTCCATCCTTCCTCACTTCTCATCGAATTCAGCATTCAGCCAATGCCTTTTCCATGACCATTGTCTCAGGGGCTTGAAAAAATTTCCTAAGATGTTCACAGATGACGAAACCATAATGTATTATTTCTTCAGAGGCGAGAGAACTGGCAGTTTGTAGCACATTATCTTAGAACTTGCCAAATTAGGGAGAACTCTTCTCATTACAATGAGGCGGAAGTTTCAGGCCATACAGATACAAAAGCAGACAAAGGATTTTATTGTCCTTTTGCTTTCCATGAAATACAATGCCAGGCAGTATTCGTACATTGCCCACATTCTTCCTGCCCTTTGCCAAGGAGGGATTTCACCGGACCTGCCAGCTGTCCCGGAGGCTGCACTGAGTGGCTGGCTGGGAACTGGGGACATACAGAAGAGCTTTGCTCGCCTGCCACAGCCAAGTGGGGGCCTCTGTGCAGGCAGTCTGTGACTTTCTCCCAGGCAGGACCCTGTGCAAATGCCTACTCTGACTCTGTCCTCATTGGCACAATGAAAGGCGAAGTTCTCTCTCACTGTCAAAAAAAAAGAATAAGGGAAAAAAATCTCTAAATAAAGGATAAAGAGATGGTCTTCCTTACTATTTTAGGGTTCATTTTAGTGCATGGGGTTGGTGCAACTTGTTTTAGAACTATGGTCACAATTTGCAACTTCGTCTTTTCCTTCTAAAGAAGGAAAGATCAGAATGTGAAGTGTCTGGGTTGTGTATAACACTAAACCCTATATTTTTTGTGTACCTCCTTTAAAAATCTTGGGGATCCTACAATTTGAAATCATTGCTAATTGTCTAAGATGTAAAGTGACCTGCCTGAAAAGTCACACAACTGGTGGTAACTGAGCTGGACTGTGGATCCAAGTTTACCTAACTCTTGAAACCTTGTGAATCCCACTGCATTACGATATGGTATTTCTCAAACTTCCCTGGTCAGGGGTCAAGTGAATGCTTATTTTTTTTTTAAAGTGAATGCTTTTTGAAAATCTCATCCTGGATCCCACTGCAGATCTAATGAGTCATAATCTTCTGGAAATGAGTACAGGAATTCATTCCAGGTAAATCTTATAAGGCAAGTTAAGTAAATGTTATTTTAATTCCTTAAATGCTTTTCTTAATCTAGAGATTCTTACAGGCTGTGTCTTCTGAAAGTCTTTTCTTTCAATTAAAAAAAAAACCTTTAATGTGGAATCATTTTGGATTTACATATAAGTTGCAGAAATGAGATAGAGTTCTCATGTACTAATAAAACAAGAAGAATAGAAAAATGTATATGCAATGACTCAAACTGGTTGGTAAAGGAGACGTGACAAGGTCCTGCTACGCATGTGCAGAACAGTTCCCAAAGCCCTGCATGTGGACTTCTCATGAGGATTCAAGCATGTTTTTGGTAAGATAGCCTAGACCTGTCATCAGCCTGCAGAGTGGGTGATACAAAAGTGACAGTCCTCAGTGGGCTTTTGCTACTGTGTTCTCGCTTGCGTAGATGGCCCACCTGCACACTGTAAGGTATATTTCTTTATATACCTTTAATCAAATTTTCTGTGGTTTGTGCTTGTCTTGACCAATTCTTTGCTCAGGACAAAAAGAAGATCGAAACTGCCTCTGGAAGGAGACAGTTGCACCCCAAAACTTGGCAATATAACCTCTTTCCTAGTTTCCCCCTAAAACTAACATCTTACAAACCATGTGCATTTATCAAAACTAAGAAACTAATACGACCAATTAATGTTAGCTGAACTCCAGACTTTATTCAGATTTTCCCAAAATTTACCTACATATTATTTTACCCAGAATCCAAAGTAGGGTACTTCAGTACATTTATTGGAGAGCCTTTTTGTAGTATATATGTTCTATACTAAAGTTAAACACACATATATCCAACAGCATAACAGTTGTACTCCTATATCCATGAGTAGCAAATGACGTGTACACAAATGTATATGGCAGCACCCTTTAATGGGAGCAAAATCTAGAAACAACTCATTGATACCAGACTTGATAGATAAGTTGTGGAATATTTATGCAACGCAATAATATACAGCAATAAGGAGGAAAGAACTATTTTGTGTGTGTAAAAACACTGGTGCATAGAGCAAACACAGTGTTTTAGAAATGATACCATGCAAGCAACGGCACACACTGTATGTTCACACTTATATAAAATTAAAAATGAATCTATAATGTTTGAACTCAGGATAGGTTTAGCGGATGAGTTAGACACTTTTTAATCATTATAACAAATACCTGAGAAAAGCGTTACTTTTCTACAGCTTTGGAAATTCTAGTTCACGATTACTTAGCCCAATGTCTTTGGGAGAGGTTGTTCATCATGGCAGGAGTACAGCCATCACCTCATGCAGGAAGTGGAAAAAGGGGAGGGGTCCTACAGCTTCCTGTGGAGGGAGACCCCCCCCAGAGACCTAAAGACTTCTGGTTAAGCCCGTTCTTAATGCTTCTGCTGCCTCCCCAGAACACCTAGGCATCAAGCCTTTTTCACATGGATCTTAAGATCCAAACTGAGGCTGTGAAAGGAGTGATTGGGAAAGAGCAAAAGCTTTGGGGTTGCTGGACTATTCTGTGTCTTGATCTGGATGCTAGCGACATGGGTGGCTTTGTTTTGTGAAAACTCATCAAACAGTGCACTCAAGATTTGCGTAATCTTTTATGTTTCACAAGCAGGCCAGTTTTCACAAATGTGTGAACTGTGCAGTCACCGAAGGTCATGCCCAGCAGAATGCTTTCTTTCATGCTGGGCTGTTGCTGTCTTGAATTTCTAATTGTTTTCTTTGACTTGTGTTTTGTAGGTGAAGTTCTCTAGGACAATGCAGCAGACACATGTGCAGAGGAGGTATGTATGCCATCGTGTCTACTAATCCCTGCAACCTCATTCCAGGCCAGTGGATACAGTTTGTAGGTGTAGAGAAACTCAACACAATGACAAGGTAAGGGTGCTGAGTCTGTAACTGAGTAGGCAGGAAACTGATGGTCTCCAAGGTCATAGGCTCTTCCAACCAGAACTTGCTTAGAATTCAGAAAGAAAGCAAAAGCTTTCTGTAAACACAATGAGCCAAGGACCCCAATCATATCCTACTTTATACCTATAAGGTCCATGCAGTAGGCAACCACTTATTCTGGAATTGATGGCTCAAAGGAAAATTGAGGCCAGCCCCAGTCCTTTCCTAGTAGCCCATGCTTTCTCATCTGCCAGCTGGAGACAGAAGCGGAATGAATGTGCACATCTCTATTTTTCTGTTAAGAATGAGATTCATATGCTTGTACAAACCAGAAAATACAACCCATATAATTTGCATGATTTCATGTATGTGTGAAATGCTCTTGCATTTGTCTTTAAAACTGGCATTGTGTAATACAAAGACAAACATGAAAAAATTATGCTAATAATTAAAAATTCGAATTTTTTTTTTTACTTTGCATGACACTAAGCAATGAACATCACATAAGGAGTCAAGCTGTAGACTGAAGAAGGTGGCAAAAACTTTATGTTAGTTCCTTAGCTGGACTTCCCCCAACTTTGGGACAGGGAGCCCCACATTTTTATTTGGCAGCCAGTGCTGCTGAGTCCTGGCCCAGAACCACTGAGTCAATGCAGCCACTTAATGCAATGGAGGTTGTGGTGCTCTGGCCGAGGATTGGAAGAACAGCTGGAGGAGGACTCCGTGCCACTCAGCACAGCTGCAGCAGTGCAGGAGACTTGGTCTGCATTATCCACCCCTGCCTGTGCCTGACCCAGCAGGTTCTGGGTGCCTCCTAGATATGGTCCAGGGCCCAGTAGGATTCCTGTTGGATCTTCCCAGTGGCCAAGTGCTTTTGATGTGAAAAGTGACGGCAAAGGCCACATCAAGCGGCACTTAGACATTTGACCTGGCCCAGACATCTGGCTTTTTCATGTACCGCTTTGTCGGGCCACTTCATCATTTATGTGCACTGGTGAGCAGTTTTTCTTTTTAGCTTAAGTATTAAATCAAAGAAATATCATCTGCATCTGCTCAACCTGCCAATTCATTAAACACAAATGGGGTGCATGTCTGCGCAAAGGCAGCACAGTGGGTTTGGGACAGCAGCTTTAATTTATATCTAAAAACAAATTAGCCTAATGGAGCAGAACAGAAACAAATGGTTGTACAGCCAACACGCCCTCAGAAACCTAGCATGGCTCTTGGGTTAATTAATGAGCACAATGGCATGTTCCACTCTGAACTGTTCGTTGCCATGTGCCTTTTAGGATGGGCTGTCCCATTTGAAAAAAGATTGTCAGCAGGGGCTGTGAGGCCTGTTTTTCCCTGTGGAGTGGTATATAGGGGACATGGGGGCAGATGCTGGCCCTAAGTATGAGCTAAAATGCTTCATGTGCTAGGTGAGTGCTGGGGGCAGGGGGCAGGATTGCCCTCTTGTTCTGACAGGACAGGAGAGACAAAGGCGGGGCACAGCGAGAAGCTGGCAGCCAGGACCTCTCCCCACAGCCAGGCCCACTCATTGTTTCGCTGTCTTCCCTCCTTGTTGCCCCTCACCCAGCCTCATCAGCTGCAGCTCCCACCCACTTGGAGTTCTCTCATGTGCTCCCTGGTTCTCAGATCCCACTCACTTCTAATTTAGACTCACGCAGCATCTTTTTTTTAAAAAAGGAATTATACAGTTGTTTCCCATTTGATCATCTATGTCCTTCAACCTGCCTGCTATGTAGGGCAATGAAAAAATGCCTTTAAAAGCTCAACTTTGGGCTGGGGATTTAGCTCAGTGGCATAAGCACCTGCCTTGCAAGCAGGCGGTCGTGAGTTTGATCCCTGGTACCAATAAAAAAAAAAAAAGCTCAACTTTGCTTAAAAGTTGGATCTTGACCCTTGGATTAAAATCCATTGTCTTGGAGTTGTGAGAGTAACATTTTTCCCCTTGGTATTTGCTCTGGTCTCAATGTGCTGCCCAAATTCATTCCCTGAAATTTAATCACCAATATGGTAGGGCTAAGGGTTGGGGCCTTCAGGAAGTGACTCAGTCATAGAAGCAGAGTTCTCAGGAATGGGACAGATGACTCTGTAAAAGAGGTGAAAAGAGCGCCTTAAACCCTTCTTGCTTCGGGTATGTGAGGCTGCAGCCTTCAAGCCGCCATCTTGGAAGCAGAACCCAGTCCCTCACCAGACACTGAGCCTGCCAAGGGCTCGCTGTCAGACTTCCAGCCTTCAAAACAGTGAGGAATACATTTCTGTTATTTATAAATTAGCCTCAGGTTATAGCAGCACAAATGGATTAGAACAGTACTCAAGATGCCTACTAGTCTTTCTGGAATGTCGCTCCCTCCTCTACTAGCAAGACTTGTTCCCTTGCCTCCTTCAGAATGTGTTTCAAATGTCCAAACCAAAAGGTATAAAAGCCCCGAAACTCATTGTGCAGCGCGTGCTGCACTCCCTTGATCTCCTCTGTTGCCTTTTCTTCCCCTTCAGCCCCACTCACCCTGTGCCAGTGTCACACCTGAAGGCAGGCACTTTCCTCTGTTTTGTTGCTGTATCCCCATCCCTAGCACCTTGTCTGCCATATTGGAGGAGCTCAATAACTATTGGTTCACTGGGTTTGAGCTTAGCTGACTTCTCTAACTTTATTCCCTGCCACGGAATAAAGTGCCCCGTACCCCAGCCGTACCCATTCATGATAAGCTGCATTGGGCCCCTACACATGAACACATTTGACCTGCTTATTTCGGGGAACCAACTAGTGCACACATAGTCCAGTCTCCCATGCATGGGGCTTCACCTGTTATTTCTGTTGAAGAACTCCTTTGAAGAAGATTTTCACCAACTTCCTGGACCCTGACAATATAGTGATAGAATTTTTTGGTTAGGAAGGGAACCATCTGATAGGATTTCGGCGCGGCTGAAAAGATAAGAAATATGAAATAAAAGAGACCTTTATTTTAAGAATGAGGGGTAAGATCCTCCAACCCTCTGGGGTCTGGCATTCTCCCCGGGGTCTGGCATTCTTTCAGGCAGACATGTGGTGTGGGGGCACACATGTAGCTTAGGTTTGGGGTGGTGCCTAAGGGGCATTAGTGATGCAAGGTAGCCCACTGTTATTCATTTCGTGCCACAGGTAAATTCCTAGGGGCGGGGAAGATAGAGCCCCTTGGTTCTGTCTCCAAGCTTCACCGACTACAGTGTCCCATCTGGGGCAAAATCCTTTCATATAGCTTCTGCATTCCTAAGGACTCCAGCTTCCTGATGGCTGGCCTGTCCCAAAACAAACTTTTCTTCAGTTTGCCAAGCTCTGAGTTCCTTATATGAACCACAGAGTCCTCTGATTAACTGAAGCATAAGTAATAGGCATGAAAATTTTGATGAGGTTTTTAAATTACTCAGACAAAAAGAATACATTCTGGGCAAATTCCATGCGATTGTCTTTTTCACACACACAAAAAATGCAAGCACATAAAGAAGCAATAATAGTCCAATAATTGGAACAAAGCATTCTTCATAGGTTCATGGAGAAGTAGCTGGTCAAGGCATGACCTGCAGGAAACAGAGAGGGACAGAGAATCATTAGAGGAGCCAGGAAGGACTTATAACCTCCAGGTCAGGCCCAAGTGAGTCACCTTTCTTTTCCAACCTGGCAAGCCTCCTAACAGCAATTCTGCCGCAGACCCTTATAATCCAATCACCTTCCAAAGGTCCCGCCAATGATTAAATGAGACTTTAGGGGGACGTCTAGATATGAACCATAGCATTTATCATCTACTTTTACTGCTTAGCAATTATCAGTGGTTTGCAATGCTGCTTTTTATTCTTTGTTTAATTATTTTAAAGCATATCTGAGACATCATTTCATTTCCTTCTACTTCAAAATGCCTCATGGGTACAGAATATTATATATAGTATGTGTACATAGACCCAAACACATATTAATTCATGTACACATCCATACATATATTTATTTATATTTCTACCCACAATGTCCTTAGCATCCTTATCAGAACTACCAATAATTCACTGGAAATATAATAAAATTTTCATAGAGGTGTTTGTGAGACAACTTTTCTGTATATCTGTAATTATATAACAGAACAGAAATAACACCCCACTAAGAAGGACGTGTATACATTTCATCTCACACATTTTAGCTGGAAGCCTGAAATGCCTCATCCTTTCTTTCTGGGTTGCGTGTGAATCTGAAATTGCCTCCTTGAAGCATCTCACTTAGCACTGCTTTGGAGAATTGGTCTCCACCCCCCTCCCTTCAGTCCAAGACCATCTGCTGGCCCAGGGAAGGCTGGTTCCTTTGTGCCCCATCTAAGGCAACCTGAAGGACAAGGCTAAGGATGGGTTTACAAGACAGAAGAGGAATTCCATTTCCTAGCTCCCTTTTGGTCCTGGCATCTCATAAACACAATTTCAGGTAACAATAAAGGGGAGGCATTCAGATCAGCTCAGGCTTTCCAAGTCCCAGTATCATCCTCCCCACTCACAGGGCCAGGCAGAGACCACCAAATAGACATCAGCCTTGAATGACAAAATGCCTGGCCCAGGCTTTTTTGCCTGAAAAAGCATTTTGCCATGGGTGTGTCCTCCCTACAGGATCCTTCTGGCTGCTCCCAAAGCCAGTGCTGGGGAGCCTGCTCATCACTACAGTCTCCTAGTGACTGCCCCCTTCCTGGAGGCTTCCCGCCTACCCCTGAAAATCATTTCCTTTCTTTCTCAAGCACTGCTTGTTTTCCCCCGTTGCTAAGCAGCGTGAAGCTCTCTGGCTGTGGGCTGCCTCTCCACTGGCAGCACGATTCACATTCAGATTCGAATTAACCCCATGTGGCCAGACATCCATTAAAAACAAGAGGGCTTGTGACAGTAGGGAGGAGCCCCTCCAGCAGCCCATAACAAGCCTCACCCTGTTCTTTTCTAGCACTGTTCCCTTTCTTGAAGGCAGGGACTAGAGGCCAAGAAGGCTCCATGGCCACCACAGCCACTTGGCTTTGAGTTCTGACCCCACCACCTACTGCAGGTGGCCAGTGACTTTTAGGAATGACTGGTCCTTTCCAACTAAGTCTTGGTTTTTTCACTTGAAAAAGGGCATAATAACCTAATAGTTTCTGCAAATGTGTGTTCTGAGGCTCAGAGGAGTCTATCGTGCAGAATGGTCAGTTGTGTCCATTCTGTGGTAAGAACTCTGGGTAGGTGCTACTGATACAATTGGCAAGGCACTGACTATCTATTGTCTTAGTTATTTTTCTCATCAGTGCGACACGATATCAATACCAGTAATTTAAATTTATTTTGGCTTGCAGATTGTATAAGTTTCAGTTCTTGACCAGCTGGCTCCCAAGCAGGACTTCATGCGAGGAAGCAAAGAAGAAGCATTTGCTCAGTCTGATTCTCTAATGACGTGTTATGTTTTACTGCTTTGTCATTGGGTCCAGAGATATCTAAATCTCAAGATCGATTCTACCCATTTTCTGTAGAGTAGAGAAATTATTTAAAAGCAAATGACTCCACGGGCCTTGCTTCTTGCTTTGAAAGTTGTACTTTTGATCAATACTAAATCATCCCCCAGATGCAAATTATGTGTTCATCTATTCCCTGTCTGGTTTAATGGTAATGAACAAATAATATGGACTTCGATCCGAGTGGGGACATCAGAAATGGAACAGGAAACATTGACCTTGAAGTACATGATATTGAATCGTGCGTCCAATCTATGAGGCAGGACCCTAAGAAAGCTGAATGTCATAAATGAAAAGATAATGAGAGGGTGTCATGGCACCCATGAAAAAGAAGACAATTTAAAAACTTTCCTCCAGCCTCTTAATAGTTCTAATTACCACATTGCTCTCACTTTTTTGAGTCCGTTAATTCAGTTCGTTGCCAAGGAGGCACTGGCTCACACAGGATTCCGGAAATGATTCTTTCACTTTAGGCTGTTTTCAGTCCTGGCTGCGCCTCACCTGCAGCCCAGGCCTGGTCTCTCTGGGGAATGCAGTGAGCAGAGGTGGCAGGATTTCCAACTCATGGAGAATCAGTCTTAAGATCTCTCAACACTAAGTGGCATTTGGGTATTATTTTCATAGTTTTTATTATATCCCACACTATTACTTAATTTTTTTAAAAAAAGTACTCAGTTTATAATTTACAAAATTTACTGTTAGATTAGTCAAAGGGAGATAAGCTGTGTTGCAGTAACAAATAAGCCTGGAGACTGGAGTTGCTTAATACAGGAAAGGTTTCTTTTTCATTCTTGAGGGTATAATGACAATCAGATGACTTTTCATGGCACCTTTCTTGCAGATACACAGTGAAATTTAGATCCTGGCTCCCTTTGTCTTATAATGTCACCTTCTCAAAAAGAGGCTTCTGAGCCACTTATATAAAGGAAGAGTGGCTGGCAGGCTGCATGCTGGCTGGTCAGTGCTCTGGGGACTTGTGTGGTTTCCTCTCACCTTCCTCTGGTCACAGGGCCTCTCCTGTCTGCAAAGGGCTGGAAGTAGACGTTGCACAATGCTGAGCTCAACTGTCCCTGGCCGGTGATGGACAGTGAGAGACAGACGTTACCACTGGCCGTGAAGGAGGAGCAGCAGCAGCCCACACAGAACAATGTTTGTAACTGTAGACAGGTGTTTTCACCCCCTCAACATCCTAGTCTGAGATTTATTTAGTTTGTCCAAAAGACACTGTGTGGGTAGGAGAGAGAGTGAGAGAGACCAGAGAGACAGAGAGAGAGAGAGAGACCGAGACACAGAAAAAGACAGACAGACAAAGACTTTCTCTCCAAAGGAATCAGAAAGATTAAAATAAAGTTTTTAAATGGGCTAGGAATGTAGCTCAATGGTAGAGTACTTAATTATTATTCACAAGGCTGGGGGTCAATTCCCAATACTGCCAAGAAATTTAAAAAAACTATTTTAAAAATTAAATTTATTTTAAAGCAGTATAACATCGTAAACACTGCACAAGACACTCACCTTTTGGAGCAGTTTGTGGTGGATCTGGCTTCCCCCACGAAGGTTCTCAGGACTTTTGGAGGACTCAGTCCTTGCTGCTGTGGTGGGGTGGGGCTTTCCCTGGTCTCTGCTCCCTGGCCATCTGCAACCCACAACCCCTGGCTTGAAGCATCAACCGCATCTCCAATCTCGGCCAGTGCCCCCTGGTAGGAGGCCCTCGCTCCTCAGACCTATTGGCTGAACTCCACTATTCTGATTTTATACTTTGGGCTTATGAGAAGTGAGGCGTCTAAAAGTTAGCCTGTTCTGAGGCTGAAGGGTTCTGATATACTATCAAATTATTCCCACTCTTAGAAACCAAAGGCACACAGGGCAGTGGGGGCAGGTGGATTTGCTTCCATGGTGCTTTCTGGGTTGATTTTTGATATGAGAAAATAGCTATGGAAGAGATCTGTGGCAGCCCACCCAGCAGCACCCTCTTTTACCACCATTGTATTGTATTTTAGCAGTCTGCATGATACCTTGGTTCCACAGTTTCAACTGGGGATCAAATTCTAAGTTTGCACCATATTGCCCCCTACTGGTCATTTTGTTTCACAGTACACAGGAAAAAAACGCTTGCAAAACAGCTTGTAGAACTGAGGCAAGGAGGGTGTTGCATCCGAGGAGACGGGCCTGACTGGTGGCCCTGGGTGGCTCCAGTTTAGAGTTTCTTCGGCGCCCAGACACTTTCCCGGCTGTGTCTTCCAGCGAGGCCTCAACGTCGACCTTCGCGCCCTCAGCGGAGGACACGGAGCCCCTGCAAACAGAACCCAAAGCTGCTTCCATGTTAAGCAGAAGGAACATTCTGCAGGCGGCGACATCTGTGCAGAAGCGTTTTATGAACCCCCAAAAGAGAGCTGTCGGACGCAACTGGACGTGACTCAGCTGAAAGGCTACCAATGACGTGTACCTGTGTCTAACCTTAGATACTTCCCGGCTTGTCTGTGTGTCCTCCTTCGCGAGCAGGCCGCTGCTTCCTAGGACCCTCATCCTGTGTCCCATCGCGGACCATTTAGTTAATCCCAGTGGGACGGAACCGTGCTACAGATGCATGAATTTGTCAGTTAAGAGCTATGATGAGGAGCCTACTTAAGTTTCAGATAACCAGAGCCTGGTCTAATGGCTTTTCTCCTGTCAATAGGTGACGCTGTAATCAGTGATCCTATAAAGCCTCTGAGGATAAGGTTTTTTTGTTTCGTTTTGTTTTAGATGGAATCAAGAGAATGCAGACAAAGAAAGCAGGTCCATTCAATCTCATCTTCAGGGAAGAAATTTTAAAAACTATCACCTAACTTTCTACATGTGGGCTTATTTATACATTTAACTATCTCAAATAACAAACCCCTTAAACCTAAATAGTGAATTCATGCTCCATTAGCTACTTTTTTCTGCAGGCTATTTTTCCAGAAAATAAAATTTTATTTAGGGGAATTGGAACTAGGATTGCTTTTTTGCAATTAATTAAAACAACCAACATGTTTAATTCTAGACCACAGCTATTACTGTAATCCTACGCTTTTAAAGGAGATCTGATCTCAGTCCACATCAACACAGTGTGGACAAGGAATCACAAGGTCAGATATGCAGGCAGTCAGTTTGCAGAAGGTGTGGGTCCGCAGCAGCTGGCTTTCTCTAGGATGTATAGGTTTCCTAAGACAAATGCACAGTTTTTAAATTTCTGCTTTACACAAACAGGCAGCAGGTGAAGAAGAAGCTCCACAACTCACCTTAACCTGCCTCATAATTGAAATAAAGTCCCTTCTGTCCACTTTGCTCTCATGTGGTGGTTTAAACAGCAGCCTGCATTTTAAAGCCATAAATACACACTGATGTTTTTTGAAAAGAAACTGAGAAGACAGAAATACTCTGGGAGTTCTGGTTTATGTTTCTGAAGGTTGGTTAACAGTCGCTTTACTTGCTCTGACTCAGAGACCCCAGGGTAACAGGGGGCTGAACCCTAACATAAGACGGTCACCCCACAGGTGCACGAGGTCAGCACGCGAGGCACCTCAGCCTCAGCGCCTTTCTTAAGGGACTTTCACGGTAGGGCCGGAGAGGATGCAGATCCCAGAGATCCAGACTCACTCAGGGCTCTGCACGCACAGGAGCTGCCTGGCCTGGGCACCCACTGCTGGGCTAAGCAGGCAGGGGCTGAGGGGGCTCCAGAGCAAGAGGCTGGGATGGGTTTGTTCCTTTTTTTTCCGTTTCTCTATTTCCTTCCTTTTTCTGGGTGTGATGTGGAAAACTGAACCTGATCTTTCACCTTCATTATATCTGCTATTTTTTTTTTTTTAATTTTGAGACTAAGTCTCGTTAAATTGCCCAGGCTGGGTTTAACTTTGGGGTGCTCCTACATCAGTCTCCCAGATTGCTGGGATTATGAGCAAGCACACAGCTTCTGGTTGAATTAGATTTTTTTTTTCTCTTCAAAGAATTTGACACATAAGATTGAACATATTTGTGAAGTGTTGTGATATTTCAGTATAGGTATGATTGTGACAGTGGTCAAATCGAGGAAATCATTCTGTTCCCTCAAACATTATCTTTTTTTTTGTACCAGGAATCCACGATCGATGTCACTCTTGCCAGACAGGTGCTTATGCCACTGAGCTAAATCCCCAGCCCCATTTATCATTTCTTTCTGGGAAAAAACAAATGCAATCATTTCTTCTAGCTATTTTTAGATATACACTACACTATGCTTACCTATCATCACCCCACTGTGCAAGAGCACACCCAAACTGATTTTTCCTGTCTCTCTGTGGCTCAGGGTTCACTCTGAGAACTTCCAAACCCTCTACATGGAGGAGCAAGACGAGGGCCGGATTGTAACAGCTGTTCATTGCTGGTTAAAGTACCTGGATGATGTTGCTAATAAAACATCAAAAAATGCAAGAAAACCGTCCAGGTCTTATCCTTAGCCATGCGCCTTCCCGGCTGTGTGAACCTTTGTCTTGTTAAACTGTCAAGTGAAATTCAGGAATGCTCATGCGAGGAGAAGACAATTCTTTTTTAAAGATATACTTTTCTTAGGGGGCTGAGGATTTAGCTCAGTGGCATAAGCGCCTGCCTTGCAAGTGTGCGGTCATGAGTTCAATCTCCGGTACTGATAAAAAAGAAAAAGAAAAAAGAAAAAAAAAAGATATGCTTTTTCCCTACGAATTCTTCTTCTGTGAGTGAACCAATGATCAATTCAGTTTAAAATTCTGTCCCTTTCTCGTTTTCTTCCTTTCCTTCTCTTTTTTTCTAGGAAAGGCGTATTTCAGGCATTCTACCCAGCAATAAAGGATTCAAGATTTATGAGAAAAATTTTCACTGTTTTTGGGGATGAGGCAAAATAAAAACTGAAAAAGCCACGGGCAGGGGCAGATCCTACTTTTATGAAGCCTAAAGTCAAAAGAATTGATATGAGTCAAAGAACTGTCCATATATATTATATTTCAATATATATATATTATATATGAGTTCTTAAAAACTTTTATTAAAGATTCTGCCATTAAAAGTTCTCAGAATACTCCCCTTCATTTCTAACACGCCTATCTCATTATTTTTGCCTCTTTTGAAGCAGTTCTCTAAGTTTTCTTTTGTGAATGTCTTTTATAAGATTAGTGATCAGAAGTACAGTGAATGGGACTGCTGCGTGCCATCGGGTGTAAAGGTACACTTGTAACACAAAGAAGATCATAACGTGTCCTCCTCTACCTGATTCAGTCGACCTGTCACCATGCAATTTCCGGCTCTTCCCAAAGTCAGAATGACCATGAAAGGTAAGTGTTTTGAATCCATTCGAGACATTGAAGCAGTCAGAGCAGCCTAACTAAAGATGGAAAGGAAGACTTCAGAGCTGTTTCAGCAAGTAGCAGGCCCAAAGGGATAAGTGTGTTCAAAGTGAGTATTCTGAGAGTGATTATGGCAATGTGGTTTTTACTGTAATAAAATGTTTCACAATTTAAACATTCAAAGTAGTCTTTGATCACACCCAGCCTCTAACTACAAATGCAAAATGAAATATGAAAATGAGTATCATTTGGAATGCAAACGAATTTCACAGGAAGTTACTGGAGACTGACAGGTGTATCTCTCCTGATGGTTTCTTTAGGGGATTTAGCAAAATGCTTGGTTAAGAATCCTTTCTGGGGGCTGGGGATTTAGCTCAGCGGCATAAGTGCCTGCCTTGCAAGCAGGCAGTCGAGAGTTCGATCTCCGGTACCGATAAAAAGTTTAAAAAGTTAAAAAAAAAAAAAAAAAAAAAAAAAAAAAAAAGAGTCCTTTCTGATTGCAGCATGGTTCCCCCTCCTGCCCTGGGGCGCAGTGGCTCAGCACAGAGCTCACAGCGATCTGTGCTGCTGAAGAACTGAGGCTTGAGCTTCATTTGCTACCTGGGATCTGCATGTAGGTTCCAATGCCACCTGCTCAGAGTGGCCTGTGGTCATCCAGGCAGTTCTGGGCCGTCATGATAGTGATGTTCTGAAAGCGTGCTGGGGGCGGGGAGGGGAGCTGATGAACATTAGAAAAACCCATCTGGGTAGCTGGTGAGGCCTGGTTAAGTCTTGCTCAGTGCCTGCCAGTTGTGTGAATTCATTCACGTCTTGAAACCTCTTTTTCTTTATCTGCAAAACAGGAAATTAATGAGAATTGGTGTATTAAGCACATGGCAAGATGCCTGGCATAAAGCAAACACACAATGAGCCTTTTCCTGAGAGAGAAATTTATTGTAAAGTTGGGTAGGAAAGTTATTTGTGTGTCTCTTTGCATTTGTCTGACTCCCCCATCCGCTCTCACTGTTGACTACAGAGACACTGAATAGCATTGAGAACCCATTCTCCGGTTAATGTTCTCCAGCTTGCCTTTCATACTGCCTGTCTGATCCAATCCATCATGTATGTAATCATATTATGCATCTCCTTCTCTATGAATAAGAAATGAGTGGGTGCTGTTTCATTTTCTACAGTTTCCCTATCATGACAGACTAGATGCAATACGCAGATTTCAACTCAGCTAAAAGGATAAATCAGATGATAAATCATCTTTCGTTCCTGGGGTAGAAGCCAGGCTCCTTGGGGCTTTCGGTGGTGGGGTTGGCACTTTGGGTCTCCTCTGCCCCGGTCAGTGGGAATGAAGAAGGGAAACAGTAGGCCCCAGGGGGGCAGGAGGAAGACTCTAAAGCCACAGTGCCACAGTGAGTGCCCGCTAGACTGGCACTTTCTTTCAAGCATCAGTAAGGCATCCGCATGTAAACTGCATCCGAGGGCTGCAGAGGTCTTTGCAAGCTTGGGATGTCAGGGAAAGTTTGACTTCCTCTCGCTGTAAAATGGGTTCAAAACATCTTCGCCTGTCTCACTGGATCATGTGGAGAACAACGTGTAATGAAAACACATGTATGTGAAAATGCACAACAGAGGGTGCACGTTGCTGTGAAAACGGTAACATAAGCTGCCATCATGAAGCCTCTCTGCATAATTTCTCAACCGACTTTTCGGCAATGCGTTCTTCACACGCCTTACTTTTGCATTGTGGTGTTGCTTTATTATTTAGATAGGTTAAAGCAGTTACCTCTAAATGTTAGCTCTTCCAAATCCGGGCAACACAAGGAAGGCATCTCCTTCCTGTGATCCCGGTTTTCAGGGGTGATGGTGTCGCGCAGACTGTAAACATGCTTCTCTAGACGATGAAATGGCGCCACCGTGTGGTATGAAAACGTATCACCCGCCCCTGCTTATTTGGTTTTGACTTTTAAATTATACAATATTTGTAAATACACAATAGAAAGTCTACTTTCTCTTTAAATAAAAGAATACTTGCCGATATTCACCTGTTTAAATCATATAGAAGTAGTTTAAATTTAATGATATTTGATAGACTCTCCCTAAGCTGTATTTGTGGACAACTTACTAGAAAAAATATCCTTGAATGTTTGCGAGTGACCAACAGCAGATTGGTGACATAAAGTCTGTCTTTGTGATGGTAGTAACTAATTTTTCTAAGTCCTCTGATTAAATAGTACATACACTCTGTATATTCTACAACGTGCATGTTGATAGGGATGTGAGGAGAGGTTATACTGTAATACACACTTAATAAAAAGTGAGAATATTTTTAAGAGTAAACTCTGCTAGGACCACCCGCCCATACTGAAGTTAAGTCACTCAAGGCTGAAACTCTTTTGGAAAAGGGTGCTAATCCTGCATGGCACCCTTATAAGGGAAAGGCCTGAGAAAGGATATGTAATTAGGAAGACGGCATGGTAAGGCTTGAGTATCATTTTACAGTCAGTTGTGAATGACACTAGCAAACATAACTTAGTACTTACTTAACAATGTACTGTGTAAAGCACTTTAGCTATATCGTTGAATTTCATAATTAGGAAAGAGATTCAATAATGGCCACTTAAACGTAGAATGCAATTTTAAAGTTAACCAGTGTCAGCAGTCTCATGTCCAAACCAGGAGCTGAGCAGGTGTCTGCGGCGCTGCAAGTTCCATAGCTCTGAATGCACTGTGGGGTCCTCGCCCTCTGGTGGCCACGAGGGGAATTTCTAAATTTAACACGTTTAACACGGGTCATGAACAGGAGCTCCTGGATTCAAGGTGGTGCCTGCCTGCAAAGTACTGTCCCGGGAAAGTGCAGGCCCTGGCATGTGATGGGAGACCTATGCTCACCTGTGTTCTCATTACCTTCCTGCTGTCGATGAGACAAGGCGAATTCGCATCCACTGATGTGAGTTCATTGGCTTCTCTGTGGGCCACAGGACTGGAGCCCATAAAGCCATGGCACGCCGACATTCAGCGGGGGACAGGCATGCTGGGGTCTCTTTTCCTCTTCAGTTTTTAAATGAAAGGATGAGAAAAACTTGAAAACCTTAAGAAGTCACCACAAGCATAAATACATGGGATCCTACCCATTTGGCCTACTTAAAATTAGAAGCTTCTTCTTGTAATCACATTCTACAGACACACACACACACATGTTTGTGTGTATGTTTGCACACAAGAGACCTAGAGAGCAGAGAGTGAGCTGCTAATTATTGTGACTTCTGGGGATTGAGAGGAGGAGGGAAACAACAGAGAGTTTTGCCTGCTAATTTATCAGCCATTCATTTATTAACACAATCTTTGGTTTCTTTCATCATAAAGCAATAATACAATAAATAGATGAAAAAGTAAACCAGTATATGCCTATCTGAAATGAAACATGAGTATAAATATGATAAGCATGTTAGGGAAATGTAGTGCACTGTATGTTTTATAATTTTAAATTATAGACCTTTAAATATTAGCAGTGACAGAACCTGGCTGAAATAACATACTCTGACAGTTTGAGTAGAATTTATATTAATTCCTAGATGCTTTCCTTGTCCCTGAACCAATGAAATGACAGAGTTTACCTGACCAGAAATCTAAAATGTTTCCCTTACTGGCTGAGGACTTTGAACCAGAAGCTGGAGTCAGAAATGTATAACCCTCCTTCTCAGTTTCAGTTTAACTATTGGTAATTGTTGATCTTGTGTTTTTAAAAGCGCTTCTTTACAGAGCTGACATGACAAGAGAAATAATATTTTATACACTACAATTGTGTTAAGTCAGAGTGGTGCCATTTAGGAATACCAGGCCCCGTGCCCCACAGTTTCAGGTGATTTTTTTACCTCTTTGGGGAAGATAACGTTCTATTAGATGAGAATAGATGGGAGGGGTAGGAGAGAGGGAGTGGGGCATAAAATGGAGCTGGATGCGAGATGAGTTCATAAAAGCACTTAATAAAAATGAAGTTCTGAAAAACTTTTGGTAAAGGTGAACCATAAATTTGGTTTGAAGTTTACGAACAATTCAAACAAAGAAGAAATAGCATGCACTCCGGAAGTTAGACATGGACAAGGCACAAATGAATTGGTTGACAGCGACCACAGCTGATGGGCTATGAAGATGTGAAAGCATGGTTTCTTGCTTGACTGGTTTTAGTTAAGAATAAGATGCGCGCTTGTGGCAGAGGAGGGCACATGAGAGGGAAGTCCGGCACAGGGCTGGTAAATTCCTTTGCCCTGGCTAAAAGGAAAGTCCTTAATTCCTCAGAAAGTTTTATTGTCCATTTTAGTGATTCCCTGTTTTTATCTACCAAAACCCTTGACACAACGCCACCCTTCTGCAGAGAGCCCTGAAACCCTCTCTAATGGGTCTCTATCAGGGTCAGCCCAAGGGGCTGGAGCTACCAGACTCTTTTAACATTTCTGGGTAAGTGATGGAGAAGACTGGCCCTCCCTCTACACACACACTTAAGGTATTTGCAGATTTGGGTATAGTTTTTTTTCTCTTAGAACAGGGCAGGTGAGTACACTATATTTTTTTCTTTTTGTTTTTTTATGGAGAGGGTACTGCAGGGGATTGAACTCAAGCCCACACAGTAAGCATACCTTTCTACTGAGCCACACCCACAACCCCCATATACATTTTTTTTTTTCACAGTGGTTCCATATCACTTGGCAACAACACCTTTTAGCATTTTGTCTGA